GACTATATACAGTCCCTAAGGTATCCCTCTACTAACAAATAACCAAAACTAGTGGGCCGACATTGGTGCCTTCGACCCACGGGTACAGTGAGGCGAAACTCACCTCGATATGCGTGTAGGTAACCACAGTATCAATGAAGAACTCTACCAGCTTCAACTCACTTCCAATCACCTACAGGAAGATACTCGAGTCAATACCTGATCACATGTCATAGTCACTTGCAACAGTGACTACCTCACATGAAATGGCGATTAGGGTTTCACATAAAATGACGATTAGGGTTAAGTAAGAACACTTATGAAACATCCCAAAAATACAGTCCAAAAATTTTGTTTTGAAAATTATTATAAAACCATAAACCATTCATAATCATAAAGAAAACCATGTATCATGTATCTCAAAACATCATATCAATATTGTGACAAAAACATACGATAAAAATATCAGAGTAATCTCCCAGGCCAGAAAGACTGTGGTGTGTGTCATGCTATCAACCCGAACCCTTCCCTTTGCTAGCTGAAGTACCTGAAACCAAAACTGAAAACTGTAAGCACGAAGCTTAGTGAGCTCCCCCAAACTACCACATACCATACACATAACATATAACAAATAGCATAACTCTGGGACTACTCCCAACTGCATCGGGACGAACCCGGCATCGGCTTACCCGACATCGGACTCCTGCCCGGCATTAAGCTCACCCCGGCATCAGACTGCGTCTGGCATCGGGCTCACCCCGGCATCGGGCTTACCCCGACACATACACAGCATAACATATATCATAACACATAACATAATCACGTAACCTGCATCGGGCTTACCCCGGCATCGGACCGAAGCCCGGAACATATAACATATAAACAAGCATACATCGGGCTTGCCCCGACACATAACATATAACATGCATGAATCGCAAAGACATCACGCATACATAACTACTTCTCGGGACCGCCCGGCATCGGACCGAAGTCCGGAAACATGTAATCTGCATCGGGCTAACCCCGGCATCGGACCGGAGTCCGGCATACTGTAACTATATAAACGGGCTGGCATTGGTGCCTTAGACCCGTTCCTACTGGAGGAAAACTCACCTCTCAATCTGGCTGCTGAAAACTCGTGCATGGTAACTCTGTCCGCTGCTCCAACTACTCTCCGGCTATTATGACCAAATAAACACTTAGTCAAAAACTGAGAATCCTTCTAAGGGTAAAATGACTGTTTTACCCCTTTTTGATCTAATTTGGGCCATGACCTAGGCCCAATCCTTTCTAGTCCTTCCAAACTCATTAAAGCCCATTAAAGTCTCCAAATGGCCCAATTTTCTAAATTTGGCCTAACTCCTCAAATGGGCTTTCCTCTCAAGCCCAACTAGTCCTTGGGCCCTTGACTGACTTCTGAAGGCCCATCACGGCCCAACTATTACTATGTCCAAAGCTTGGGCCAAACCGAGGCCTAATAACATAAAGCCCACTGTCTGAGCGTACGCTGAGCGTACGTTGAGCGTACCCTTCTGTACACTGCGCGTACTGCTTGAATGGCTTGTACGTTGTGCGTACTGGCGTGTACGCCCAGCGTACTCTCCTGTTAAGCCATTTTTTCCAAAACTTCTTAATCCCTTAAGACACTACGTCCAAACTACAGATCTGAGTCCAATACTTCGTCCTAACCCATAAAGTCGACCACTTGGTGGCTTGCAACCCACCAAATGAACCCAACTCTAAAAATAGCAATAAACTTCCATGGAAATGGCTAGATCTCATGCATGGCTACATAAAGGCCTCAAAGCTTGCAACTTTACTGCTAAAGGAACACTTTGAGCTTCAAGGGTGGCAACCCTAAGCTCAAAAATGAAGTTGCATAAACAAGATCCATTATTTGGACCTAAAAAGGTCCAAAGCTTCAAAACCCTAGATCTAAGCTTCTAAGAGGAAAGATAGGAGTTGTATACCTCCTTTGGGTGCCAAGAGATGAACTAGTTCCAGATCCCTGAGCTCAATATACTCAAGTGCTTCTCCTCCAACTTCTCTTTACTTTTTCCAAGCCTTTCTTCACCAAAAATGAACTCAAAAAGGTCAAGTACACACAACAATGGAGTATGAGGCGAACTAGGGTTTTCTGAGGGTGAGGGACTGGTGAGGATGCCAAAGGGGAGGCTATAATGGGGTATTTATATGTCTTAAACCCTAAAAATTAGGGTTTGGCATCTGCCCGCGTACGTTGGGCGTACCTCTTGGTACGTTGCGCGTACGCCCCCGAGTCCCTCGAATCCAATGGGCCACTACGCCCCGCGTACGCCAGGGTACGCCCAGCGTACGGCTTATGGGCAGCCCAACTTCTTGGCCCATTTTGCTAAGGTCCACCCCAAAAGGTCCATTGTCCAAGTGTTATCCCAAAGCTAATATTAATTTACATAATTTAAATAATACCTCGAGAGACGGATGTTACAACTTAACCCATTAAGGACTTAATCACCTAAGGGTAGGACTGATTAAGTTTTGACTTAGTCATTCTCGGGTGAAATAATAATCCAATCAACAGCCCAATTACGCACTCGATCGTTGTCCAAAATAAAGCTCCCCGATTCTAGGGTTTCCACATAAAATGATAACTAGGGTTAGTGTTCCACACTTAACCCCATAAGGACTTAATTCATTAAGTCCAATGTTGCATTAACTTAATTATAGGGCATTATTAACTATTATTTAAAGTTTATTTAACAGTTTTAATGCGGGTCCCGACCAACTCCAAAACTAGGGTTTTCTTGACATTAGGGTTTTCTAAACCCTAATTAGGGTTTCCAACCCCAAAATCGTGCCATTAGGACTAAATTTAAATGCTTAAGTCATTAAATGTTTAATAAGTCGGTCACCACGCACTGCCACCTCGGGCAGTGGCAGTCGGCGATGGTCCGTGGCGGCAGCCACCCACACACGCCGGTAGTGGCGGTTTTGAGTGATAAATCCAAAAATACAAGCACACATAAAAGTTCCTACATCATTCATACACACACTACCACCACAAAGAATACCAAAATGCCCAAAACATCCACCAAAAAGGGTGGCAGACGGCAGCAGGAGGTGGCAGCCACCACCTCACGGTGATGGTGGTGGTGGTGGGTTTTCTTTGATTTTTCCGGCCAAGAATGTTCATACAACATCTCATCATTAAAACACGCACACACACCATATCACACACACATCCACCCACATACGGTGGCTGGTGGAGGCAGAAAAGGCAATAGGAGCGGCAACCACAATGGTTGGCTTCTATGGTGGTTCTCATCGATTTCCGGCCAACCAAAACCCACACACACACACTTTGACATCGACTGAAACACCCACACACACACCCGAAAACATCCATGACGTAGCTGCAACCTCACCCTTGGAGGAGGACGACAGTCGGAGGGGTGACGAAGGACAGCGGCAACGGCGGTGTTGGCTTGGCGGCTTACAACGGTGGCAAAAGAGTTGGCGGCGTCGGCTGTGAATGGTGATCGACGAAGCAACAGCACTCGAAGGTTGCCCTCCACTCCTTGTTGGTCTCGAGCTCTTCCGTCGGGGGGGGGGGGGGGGGGTTGACGATGGTGGTCGCTTGGTGGTCCATGGCAGCGTCAAGGCGATAGTGGCGGCTGTAGGTGAGGGGGTGATAAGGTGGCAGCTGTGGAAGTGATGTAGGGTTAGGGTTTGGATGAGATGCAAGGGAAGGGGAGGTGACGGGCTTTAGACCCGCCTCCACCTTCAAACTTCATTCCATTTGACACTTGCGGCCCCTCCTTCTCTATTCATTTTCAAATCAGATTCACAAATTACCAAACATCCCCTGCTCCACGAAATTCTTTACATTTCAAGTCCAAATGTTACAATATAGATCCCAAATTTTAGAAATTATAACATATAACTCCTTATGGCTAACACTAATAAATTATAACAGATTTAGGGCTAAAATAAAATAAAAATATGAAATACATCTCGGGGTTTTAGGGTTTATTGATTTATTAATTTATTTCTTTATTTATTTAATTTTATTTATTTTAAACAGAATGTTACACTATTCTTACTTTTGGAGATCGCAGTGAAGGAGCATTCAAAGGCGTGGGTATAATTAAGTACAAATCAATCGAGCTGAAGGACGTTTTATATGTCAAGGGCCTTTAAAACAATCTTATCACTATCACTCAACTATGTGACGTTGGTTACAAAGTTCTCTTTGACTGCAATGAAGGAAAGGTCATCAACTCAAAGAACAAAATTATGCTCACTACACTCAAGGATAATAACATTTACATGCTTTAACTATATTTGAGTTGGACAACTCCGCTTTATGACTCTACATTACTTTTTGCTATCTTCAATTTCTGAACATATGTTGCTGGTTCTTAACTTACTAAAACTTTTGTGCTTCAAAAATTCTTTCTAACTTTCATTCTACCAAAGGAGTATACATTGTATATTGTGCTACTAACATTGGGTGCATTCTAAAGGCATTAACACATCGAATAACATGACCTTTCAAAATTTCATTCATCCAAGACACTCATGTTTGATTTGATGTCATACAAGGCTCCTTATACATGTATTTGAAAAAGTATGCAGCAACCAGAACACTTAAGAGCATGTGTTCGATAATAGTTTTAAATGATAAAGTTTCCTTCTCATCTTCTTTCTTTCGATATCCATTTACACACATGCACCTATTCAACATGATTATTATAAGTATAAAATATGTAGAAATCATATATAATCTCTAAATTAATCATAACACAATGCATCATAAATCAAATATGTAGCATTAACAGTTGAAATAGAACAATGTCCAAATGAATGACCCACTCAAATTTAAAAAAAATATGCTCAATAATGAATCACTGATGACATTAAAAAAATTAGTTGCCGATGTTATTTTTATAATTCAGCCATGCCAGCCTACCCATGTCGTTTGGGAGAGTTAAAAACAATTCTCTCTTTACCAGATCTTATAACAAACTCATTGAAAAGCACTACAACTCGCTCTCATTTGTCATTATCTCATCATCAACCATTCGATTAATCAAACCTACAGCTGCACTTATACTAAAATGTTGACTTTGATTGCCAGTAAATGTATCTGACCCTAATAGTTCAAGAGTACGTTTTTGAATGGAATTTTGTTGAGTCATAAACCCCTTAAACATTGAAGATCCTACTGACTCTCTATTTTTATGTTTCATATGTACAGGTTTAAGTTTAGAACTTTCTTTGTAACTCATTTGAAGTTGAGTAGATCCCCCAGTATTGTTCGGTGACAAGACATCGCCGACCCAATTTATAAAATTTGAATAGAAAGCGGCATTTTCTTCTTCTAAGTTATCCACGTGATCAAAGAGTTGAAGGTTTTGTGAAGAGAAAAAAGTGGCATCACCAGTTTGGACATGATCACCGGTTGCTACATCATCACACGTCGTAGGATTTTCATCATCAATAATAACATGAGGCGTAGTATTGAGAGTACTTGAATACATGGATGGTGCCATACAGTCTGCACCACTCGCAACCGCATCCCCAAATATGTGATCCCATGCTTCTTGTAGCTCTAAAGAATGTTGTTTTTTTGGAATTCCCTTAAGATTCGGGTTTTCCTATATAATATATTTTATTTCCTGTTAGTTTTCAAAATAATGACAAATTAGCTATTAGTAAAAAAAATATTTAAATTTGTTACCTTAATTTTCTTGTTCCACCATTCATCCGAACATTTTAGTTGTCGTGTACTCTCATTCCAACCTAGACCTATTTCACCAATTTTTAACGACGTCCAAAGGTTGTAGTCTTTTCGCATTTCACCATACTTGTTTTTTAACGATTTGTAGTTATTTAACTTGATATTTGCATCTTTTTCAAAAATTGGCTAAAGATCTTTCCATTTAATTGGAGAAGTACGACCATTCTTCATGATATATTTTTTTAAGATATCACACAAAATCATGACCAACTTATTTAGCGAATCACATTTTTTTCCATTGTCATTACTCAAGTTCATAGTACCTGATTTTAAATTCAAATAACCGATTATTAAAAAATTATATACACATGACCTGACACAATGAATTGGAGTTTTCAAAAGGAATGGGAAGCTATATAAGAATTGAAGGCAATCGTACAATAAAGCTATATAAGAATTGGCAGGTAGTGTCATATTGAGGTGTTTTGAACTCTTTTAAAGTCAATGGTATCGTATTAAGTAAGTTGTTTTGTGTTTGTGATCACTTCTCTGCCATTTTATATTTGTTCTTTTAAATATGTTTTATTTTGGTAAAAAATTACACAAGTATTAATGAACCAAGTTGAATGAGAGGTTGTGATATTCGAATTGTGCAATAGCAAATGATAAAGAGAGTGAGACATGGTTTACAAGGAAACTCTTTGATCCTTGTTAGGATCTCCGGCACAAAACCTTGGGAGGTGACAATGATCACCTGCCTTGATGATTTTATTAATTTAAAATGATTATTACAGAGAGTGTTCTCGTAAGAACTAGTGAATAATTTCGTAGAGTAAGCTTCTAGCCAAAAAACAGTCTGTTGTGTGAGAGATACAAGTGTCAATTTATAGTCTAAACTAGCCAACAAGATGTCCAATATTTTCGGGATCCTCTATGACCACCTTCACGAACGTTATTTGACCAAGTATTTCGGGTCTTTACCATAGTTGAGATGATTCTTCGTTGAGAATTGGTCTTCCCTTGACTATTTCTAAATATATATTAATCATGAACAGAATATAACCGTTATAAATGTTAATAAAAAATAATAACGCTGATAGTCGGGATCCTGAGGTAGCTGAGGATCTTGAATATTTCGAGGATCCTGGCCCTAAAAATTGCCCCCAAGTTATTCCTCAAAATAGGAGAATCAGTTTCGTAGATATTAAAGGAATAACTTAAATTAAGGAAATAAGAGGAGAGAGAAAGGTAATTTCCAGAATTAACCCTCAACGGCTAGGTAACTTTTGAATTTCAACGGGCAAATAACTGGCCGTTAACAGCCAAATCAGCCGTAATTCCTTAGTATAAATAGATATGATCGGTTTCTTTATTCCTTACTCATCGCATTCTTCCCTTCTTTACATGTACTACTTTTCGAGTATCGACGATTCATTAGAAGGTAATTATTTTTACGTTTCGATTTCTTTCGGTATGGTTAGAAAAATGGTTGTTTCCCGTAAAAGTATCTTAGCCCTCCCTGATGATGATTTTATCAATCAAGGGATCCTCTCTTACGAGGATACGTGTTCTTTTTGGGGACGATGATATTGAGACTCTAAGACACAATGGAGCCTCTCCCGAAGCTATTTTCTGACCCTTCGATCCCCTTATTCAGCCTGACTTCGTCTCTCCCACTTGGGTGTACTTTCCTGAGTACCCCTTCTCTTTGGGTTTGAGATATCCTTTCCTCGGGATTGTTTCCGAGTTCTTTAGGGCGACTGATATTTCGTATATCCAGGCCATGCCAATTGTCTGGAGGATCCTATATTGGGTCGACCAGATAGATCAATCAAGAGGCTTTGACATAGGCTTTTCTGAATTGGCTTGCGTATATGATCTCACAACCTTTGGGAACTCTCATTTCCTCCTCAAGGTCAACACCCACAGATCTCCTCTAGTCCTGAAAACCAAGCATAATGACGGAGCTTGGAAAGAAAGATACCTCTTCGTGAGACGTGACTCTGTTCCCAATAGGGATCTTCTGCCGGATACCTGGGTCAAAAAGGGTGGGATTCTTTAATATTGATATAAGGATCCTGGAATTCACATCTTCTTATTTTGTTTGCTTTTTTGCAGCTTTCAAAATTGAGGAGCTTGTTCCTGTTGTTGATGATTCTGAAGAGAAGATTGAGAAGTTCTTGGTTTTGTCTGAAGTCGAGAGATCCTTCCGATTTGATCAAACCATCATGCAGGAAAGCTCTTCCTCCACTAACCTCATGTCGACAGGTAAGGATCCTTAGTTTTTTCCTGCTTGCGGTGAAGATTTTAATGATCCTCTGTTATGTATTTATGTAGGATCCAAATCCACTCGCTCTAGTGCTCGCTTCACTCTTGTTGATCTTGACACGGCCATGTCGAAGGACCAGCTGGTGGTGAAGAAGGAGAAGACTTTGTCTTCTCTTCCTCCTGAAAGATCAACTGTGGACTTGACAGTGAAGACCCCGAATCTCGGAAAAGAAAAACTGTTGAGTCCACAGGTTTATCTTTGGAAAGCCTTGGAGCTGAGGAAGCACTTCAATATTTGGTCTCTTTCTCCCAAGCCGTAACTTTTGACTCCATTCTCGTTTTATTGTTCATTTTGTTTTTTGCTGACTCACTGTATCTTTGTCATAGGTCTCTGATCATGTTTCCGATGATCTAAGGATCCGGGCGGAGAGGGTCGAACAAGCCCTTCAGGGACAGGAGAGGATGTGTAAGGCGACCAATGAGGATCTTTTGAGGAGGGTGGGGCTGCTCATCAAGGAGAAGGCTGAGAGAGAGGAGGAGCACGTACACGAGATGGAGGAGGTGATCTCCGACACAAAGTTCAGCACGGTGGTGGCTGTTTGGGAAGCCAAGATTCGTCTTGCGGAGGATCTCGAGAATGCAGGTTCCTGGGATGTGGACAGTTGGCACGAGGCACTGGCCAAGATGACTGGCAAGCCTGCTATCACCAACCAGTATCCTGTACTGCAGCTGACCGAGGGAGGGGAGAAGAAGGGCATGGCCGATATTATCAGGCTAAGTTCTAGGCCTGAAAAAAATTAGTTTAAGTAGTTTTTGTTTTTGTTAGTGATATAAAACAATTAACCTTTTGGACGGCTTGATATGCAACCCTTTTTTGAATGACATGGTAGTATTTTCCTCTTATATCTTTCTTCTTTTTTTTTCTGCATGGCTGTTACGATATTAGGATCCTTAAATAATTAGGATCCTTGAAAGCTTGGTTCCTGCGAATAATCTTGAAACAGAATTTATTTAGTAGTTCACTTCTAGCATATTTGAATCTTGGTAATTAGATGATTTCAGTTTAGGACCCTGGAAAATTCTAGATCCTTAAACTTTATCTAAAGTTCTTTGAGAATAATTGATAGATGGAACCTGATTATCTCCAAATTTTTTCTTGGGCTTTGTAAGTCTTGAAATTTACTGAGGATAAATCTCAACTTTAGGAGAGAACTTCAGTCCATGGCTGATAATGAGGCTCTTTACCAATGAGGGTTGACGAGGATCCTTAAGGGCAAGGATCCCTACTGACAAAGATCCTTAAAGATGAGGATCTCATATCATACATGGGAAATCTCTCCTTAGGATAACGTGTTTAGGTTATAGACTTTGACAAAATTCTTGTGTAATACCACAGGTTCAATGGATAAGATGTTAATGTTATATACTGGGGAGGATCCCGACTCGTGATATAATTCATGGGAAATATCCTTACTTATGATAACATGAAAAATGTTATGATTCGAGTATATTATCTAGGGAAAATTCCCCACGTGTGATAACATGAAGATGTTATAGACCTTATGTAGTTTCTGGGGCAAGATCTCAATTTTTTATAACATGAAAATGTTATAAACCTTAAGTAATCACTAGGGTAGGATCCCAATTTTTGGATAACATGAGAATGTTATAAACCTTGAGGACCTCAACTTATGTTCAAAGATAAGAGGATTGCCAAGCTACTGAATCGTGAAATGATCCCTTTATCCGTATCCCACAGTTAGATATCATGCGTCCAAGCGAGGTGTATAAACCTTAGTCTGTGTGAAAGAGGTAATTAGCTCTTTAAATCTTAGAGGGGATTAAGTACCCTTAAGCGTAGGAGAGATGATTAGTCTCTAGCTTGTGTATATGATAATTTAAAGATTACATCGTTAAATATAATGGAGTTTATCAAGTATTAAGACGTTGATATCTTCATGTGTCAAGATCCTTATGTTTCAGGATCTTCGACCTTGAGGATCCTTATGTTTCAGGATCTTCAATCTTAAGGATCATTATGTTTTAGGATCATTGTTTATGGAGATCCTTAGTTGTACGTTGTTATGCATAGCAAACGTTAGCTAGGGGTGGGCGTTAGTCTAGCTAACGCCCCTCCAGTGCTTAAGTTAGTAATGTATTCAAGGAGAAAATAAGTAATAACGAAAATTTTAAGTTAAAGAACATGTGTACCTTGGTTTTGTTGTTGATCAGTCGACCCTACTTACATGTAGTATGCTTTGAGGTGTATAGCATTCTAGGATCTTGGCAGAATGTCTTCTTCGAGCGTTTCTAGCCAATATCCTCCTTTTCCTACTTCAGCATCTATGAGATATGGTCCTTCCCATTTAGGAGCTAATTTTCCTTCACTATGATCCTTGGTGTTTTGGAATGTTTTCCTTAATACCAAGTCTCCAATTTGAAACATTCTGACTTTTATGTTCTTATTGTAAGCCATGGTGATCCTTTATTGATGAACAGAAATGCGTATTTTGGCAAGATCTCTGAGTTCGTCAATAGTGTCGAGATCTTGTGCTACGATCTTGTTGTTTTCTTGATCTTGCAGTAATTATCTTGCCGTCGGGATCACTGCTTTTGTCCCAAACACCAAAGAGTATGATATATGACATGTGGCTACTTTTGAAGTAGTCCTATATGCCCATAAGACGAAAGGAAGCTCTTCTGCCCATCTTCCCTTCTTCTTATCCAATCTTTTCTTTAAGTTGTTTACTATGATTTTATTGTTGGATTCTGCTTGACCATTAGCTTGGGGATGAACAAGAGTGGACGTTATCATTTTGATTCCCCAACTTGTGCAGAAGTCTGCTGTC